TTGATGCTTTGGAAGCGTTTGGGGGATGTATATTCATATATTCATGTTCACATACCGTAAAAACAATCGCTTTCAAAATAATTCAGTAATTAGAACATGAATATATCAATATAATACACACCCCAATTTTTGGCTTTTTTGGCTTAGCTTAAAATATAAGAACTAAAGACACTAAGCTAATTTTAAAGCTACTTTTACTTTTTAAGCTACTTCTACACTGAAGCAACCTTTCTTGATATATTCCTTTAATATTAAAACAACATCGAAACAACAAATTAAAATAGTTTGATGTTATAAAATCTACAGTTCTGCATTTTCAAAGAACTTTATTCAACTGATTTCTACTCTATATGCACCCAACGATCAAACTAGAATGGATCTTCTAATGTAGATGGTATTTACAGTTTCCCAGCAAATATCCTTTACATTTTGTCACTAGATTTTTTGTAAGAATATTGACAAAGAGCAGGCCGTTCACTTTTTCATCAAAGTTTAATTGCAGGGCGAATACGTTCATTCATTTGAAAACACGAAGGCATGAAGTTTTTTCTCACTAAACGTTTTTTCTACCAGCCCTGTCTTTTAGTAATTCTGCATTATTCCTTCTTTAGTTTTTCACAGTAAAGACCTCCCAGTTTAGGCGATTCACATGGTTGACAAGATTGATCGTCGGTTCCAAGAGGATTTCTAAACCAGTACTTTTTCTTTCCACAGCAGCGCCGTTCACGTCTTTTCTCGACCACATGGTGCTGATATTTTGTCGAATCGAGATCAATTTTCTTCGGATTTTTTGTGCAAATTTTTATAGTTGCTCTTAAATGGAACGTTGAGTTCTCATCTGGTTTGGGCTGGGGAAGCAATTTGGGAAGAAAAGCCCGAAAATACCAAGTGTTAAACAATGGTGGAGGAAGCTCGTTCTGAGATACAACGCCATGGGACGATAAACATATTTCGGGTGGGTGAGGTTTGCAAAGTATTGGATAGACTCTCTCAAATTTGTTCGAACACGACTCCTCATTTTCTCCATAGCTCAAATGAAACTCAGTTTGCTCTAGAAATGCATACTTCATGGTATGGTTACTTTGTGTGACTGAAACTGGCTGATATCCTTTGGCTGTGATCTCCACTTCGTATGTCGAGTTTGTCATGCTAGGCAGGAAAAGTTCAAAGCGTTTTACGTACAGTGCCACATCTTCGTGTACAGGCAGTGTAGGACTAATAAATTTATGAACCCAAGCGGGATTACCAGAACTTGATTTAGAAAACGGAATAGAAAGTTCGGTATATTCCCCAGCATAAAGTTGCGTCAAATCCATTACTCCTGGGTCAAGTTTTTCCCTAAGCGGGTTACTTTTCGCAGGTATAAGTGCATCGATCGTCGTCATTTCATCCGTAAGGCAGGCGCTTATGGGGTTCCCAAGAACCAATATAATGTTTCCAAAAGATGGGTTGTTCAGTGCCTGTTCGCAGTGATGTGTAGGAACGCCACCATTCTCGTACTCCTGGACGTTACAATAATCTTGTAAAGCAACGAGGACGTGTTGCTTTGACAACAGCTTTATGCGATGTACGTAGATTTTCAATAGAACACGATCATTCCCAGCAGGAACACTTCTAACCGCTTTCGAGCTGTGCTTAGCAATAAGAGCTCGCACCGCTGCAGCCATTGCATCCATAAAGTCGTATTGAAAATCGTACATTTCTTCGTAAATCGCACCAACGACATCAGCCTCTACTGTAGCTCTGATACAGACAGCCTTACTCGCCCCAATTGATTCTACTACCGCAGATAATACAGTTTTACCCCCATACAAGACTTCGCATAATTTTTCTATGGCTGCATTTACTAGTGTGATGTACTTTGTTATATCATTTTTGTAATAACCTGGGTCGTAATTTCCATATTTATTTAGGAAGGAAGATTTTACTTCATTAATATTGATTTCTTTACTCTCTTTAAGGGTTTTAAATAAATCTGCAAGTGTTTTATGAGTTTCGGCGTTTTTAGCATTGGCGGCACTCAAACGTCGTGCTTGTGTTATTATATCAGGAAGAATTTCATTTTTAATCGTCGCTAATTTTACTGAGTCAACTCCAGCCTGTGCAACTGCGTCAAGTCGATCCATAATATCTGTCGGATCAGCTCCTCCTGTGATCCATCCCATTGGATTGGCGTTGTTAGCAATTGCAGCCGCTAGTTGCGTTGCAAGCGCAACTAACTCCGCAATGTTAGCACCCAAAGCGTAATGAAAGATAGTTCTGAGTTTATCGTCAAGATCAGATTTCGAGAGACGTGTATTGAAATCGGTCATCTTGCTCTGAAGGTATACGACGTCATGCCCAGCTTTTCCTTCATCGAACGTGGCGAGATGATGAAAGTGGCTTCCCAATGATATTCGCAGGCTCGACAGGCTACTTTGCAAATCCATTTGGCCGACATCGAGTGCTTCTATGTTGGTCAGTAGTGTGTTGCTAGTCGCAGCGTGGTCAAGAATTGTCTTGTACTCCGACGAAGGGTTGAAAATCTTTGTTATAGGAGCGGAATTTATAGTAGTAACGTAGTTTACCAAATCTAATATGAGTTCGTTCAATTTACAGAACCTCCTTTTTGTTTGTCCTTTATCCCCAGGTTTGCATGAGTCAACACTACGCGTCTTCTTAAAAATATTGGCCATTTTAAACAGAGTCTTCATGTTTTTCATGGCGTAACTTAAGCCACCCAAGAAAGCGTTGTAATTCTCATCGGTTCCCAAGTTAAAATCTGGATGCAAAAACCAATAACTTGAAAGGCGAGCGAACGCGCGGAATTCGTCCAGATGAACATCTGGATTGCGAACAAATAGCATTTTTTTCATTTCCATCAGCATTTTTAAGAAAGGCTCGATCGCAAAAATAACATCATGTTTTGGATTTGTAAAGGTTCTTTCTAAGTAATCATCAATAAAAAGAGAGATCTTTTTAAGCCTTTCTTTGTCTGCGGTTAAAGATGGGATGGCCATCACGTCTTTCAATCTAGCCAAGGCTAACCGGCGAAATGGCTTGAGAATTTTTTCCTGGAACTGCCTGGGATTATAAGCTGTATTTCCACACTCTGTTGCGAGATTAGAGTCAAAAAACCAAAACATTATGTAGTATCTCATTTCATTTTTTGTATCCTCGTCATAATAAATTTTCGAATTCGCTGAGTATCGCTGAATCTGGTCATTCATTTCAGTTATATCTTTAGACATGTTTTGAAACGAGCGACGGAAAGGAGAATAACTTAGTCCCTTAAAACGCAAAATATTGGACATAAATTTGCTTATATTTTGAGAAACCATGGCATATCTGCCGAACCTTTTTTCCAGTGGTCGAAATGCAATGCAAAGCTCTGAGTATGGTTGTGGATGGTAGTGTAGTACTGGAGTGATGTAATTCATTGCATAAAAATAATACTGAATCTGGTTAACGCTCATTATCCCAGCATACACAAATCGAAGCTCATGGAAGTGATCTGAACCAACGTTGCCTGACCCTAACGAGCGAAATTCCCAGTAATAGTAAATATGTTGCCATAGAAGTTTGATTAGTTCTTTGACCACATCTTCCCAACACCTAAATGGCCATTGGGCAAAATTTATCTCTGAAGATATTTCACCGTACTCATAACGAAGGATACGAGCAATGTCTGGCGGCATCTGTTCTTTTATAAAGTGATCGTGTACATAAATCAAAAAGTATACTATCATTTTATTTGCATTAGTCCTCAAAAATTCGAAGTTTGGTATTGGTTCTCCCAATCTATATGATATACTTTTAAATTTGGAGAAATCTTCAAAATCCTATGAAAAAGAAAAGAAGTGTGAGTGTATAATTTGATGTTGTCTTTTGCACAAAAAATAAATCACTGAGACTATAAGACGTCACCCTTGATAGATTCAGCAGTTATGTGCAAGACGAAAACGGCTTAATTTATTCTACACTATTACACTATTTTTTATCATGGCTTATTTTATGTAAGTGATTGAACACATCTCCTCGTAACAGGGACACTGTAACTGTTACGATATCATTTGTCACCTCGCATTGGCGCGCAAATCTTGACAACCATGAAGAATAGTGATAAAACAATCAGCAATATCATATGGATTGCTGAAATATAACTATTCAGTTATCCGTGCAACCGAAAAGATCGCATCAAAATAGCTGAGGAGTTCTATATTTAGTTAAGCAGGACTGGCAGTTAACATTGGAAAAGTAAAGAACAATTCGCTGCCATAGATAATTGGTATGGGCTGGTCACGTGCCTCGTCCAAAATTTAACGCCCGAGGGGGTGTGGGGAAAGTATCAAATTACATGATTTCAGTGGAGATATTTACATGAGCCCGGTTTGCAGGGCTGGCTCGCTTAAACGGGGCGCCCGGCTTCATAGTAATTTCCACCACAAAGCAATTTTACTTTACATGACAAACCGGGCCAGCCCGTTTAGCTGGGATCCCACTTGACTCAAACGGGGCGCCCGGTCAGCCGGGATGAAATT